TTATGCATTACGTGTTATGCGTTATGCAAGAGTCTGTGCTCCCCGCTATAGGCTTTAGGGCTCTCACACATGAAATGCATAACAGAGCATAAACATAACATAAGACTGCTGAACCAATGAGCATCTAGCATAATGTCGCCATATTGATTTACATAAGATGCTCATTGGTTTAGCGGCGATTATTATGTTATGCTTATGCTCTGTTAATTCTGTTATGCATTTCATGTGTGAGAGCCCTTATGCTTTATGCGCTATGCAAGATCTACAGAACGAGAAGTGGGGATGGAAATAAGGGACTTTGATTGGTTGATTCGCTTATGCACTATACTTTATGCGTTATGCAAAAGTCTGTGCTGCGGCCTTTATAATAAGGTTTGTTCTTCTTGCTTACACTTTGTACACTTTAGTGTAAAGTGTACACTTTAGCGTTCTTCGGAAGTGATGTTAAAGTGTATGATTACACGTTGTTTGTCTTGAAAGTGTAATACACTTTAATGGGAGGATCCCGTTTGCCTACAGTTCTGATTGTACACACCACTCATATCAACTGATGCCTAGTAATTTTTCACTGTTTTGCCAATGAGATAATTTTATTTTTAAATTGGCCAATCAGCGATACATGTGTGCAATATGCGATGTGTGCAATCGGAGCCCTCCCCACTTTAATGACGTATTGTACACTGGTTTTACAAGTGCCTGAGAAGTGGTGTAAATTGGTGTAACGTTACACTAATAGGTTAGGTTGCTAATGATTTGAATTTTGATTAGTAGTTCTTCTTCCGAATGGAACGTCTAATTACAAAAAATGGAATAAATTATTTAGTCAATAAATTAATAATAAATAGTAAATAACAAATAATAATAATAAATAATAATTAATAATTACTATTTATTAATTAATTATTAATTAATTAATTATTTTAGTCATTAAATTATTATTTAGTCGATAAATTTTCAGAAGTCTTTCACTTTTTCACTAACTCTAAACATAAACAACATGCATAAATATCCAGGGCTCGGTCGTATTTCAATAAATTTATTTAAAATACATATTTTAAATAAAGGAGGAATTAGAAAGTTATTTAGTATTAATTATTTTAAACAACTTCTTCTGACCAATTTCTTATTCGATATTTTAAATAAAATTGAACAATTTTCTGAAATCTATTTTTTATTTAAAATAAATTATATCAGTTATCATTTTTATTTTATTTATATAATATAATAATTACTTATTAAGTTTCTATATTCTTATAGGATAGATACGTGGTACGAATGTAAAACAATATAATTATAAAGGCATATGACCACGAACGCCTGATATCGTTGGCTTAAAATTATTATATTTGATAATGTACAATTAATAGACGTTTCGGTCTTCAATGAGACCTTCTTCAGTATTCATATAAATTAAAAGTAATACGCATAATTATAACATAAATTAAGACTTAAAATTAGATTCTTAACAAATATCAGTATTATTTTTTTGCTATTACAAAAATTCGTCAATACTTTACTCGCAAAAGTTTTTTTTTTCCCTCTTCTCTTTCCTTACTAGATGTTTTTATTCTCCTTTAAACGCAATAGTTCCATACCAGTTTGTTAGTCTGAGCAGATCTTGAAACGTAACCACGAACAATTGTGTAAGCAAATTCTCTTGATGTATGTCCACACAAAAGTTCCAGTTTCTATTAGATAATATATACAATTATAATTTAATTAATACAATACAACGTGTTTTAAAC